TACAGATTTCTTAGCAGGTGTATTTTTGAGCAATTTTTCCCTATCTCATTCCAAACTACAGTGGTGGTTAGGGCAAAGCTGAAGCACTACACAAATGGCAATCCAAAACTTCCCACCATGAACTATTTCCAGAGTTGAAAATCACTTTACCTGACCCTTGTGATGCACTTTTCTGAACCCCTGCAGAAGTCACCTGAGCTTTTGTCAAAGTTTGCACAGGTTGGGCAACTATTGTTCCACCACCTCCACTCACAATGGCTTTTGCTACTCCTTGGGTTACAACCTGTTTTGGACCAACAGCCTTTGCTACTGAAGAGCTGGATTTAGCCACCAGTATCTGTCCACCACTGATGGCCACTGCTTGTTTTACTGTTGACTGTAAAGTAGAACCAACTGGAACTCCAACAACCTGTAATAAATAAGCATCAGATGATGCGCTTCCTGAACAGCTTTGCTTTATTTTATCTGGATAAAATCAACAGTCCCCCTAGTGAGCTATACAGGACTCAGTAGCAACCAGTATCAGAATACTTTTAAACTTAAACAAGCTGTCCACTCAAAACAACCAGCTGAATAGGCAGAAGGACTCAAACATGTGAATTTGAGACCACCCCACTCAGGGTATAGACAGATAAAACACCTACATCAAAATGAAAAGAAATGTGATGGACTTACAGCATTGTAAGGTGTTCTGTTCTAAATGTTGTGCGTGTCCACTCTATCCTATGCAAGTAGAAGCTAAGCCATGTTAGTTTATTGTCTGTTTAAATTCCAGTGTAAGCTGTTTTGGTTTAGCTTCTGTTATTGCAGGAAGGGAGTTGTTACACAAAATAGTTATAATTGATCAGCAGACCCATGCTCAACAGCCAGTGTATTCCTTCTCCCCCTTTAAAGTGATATGATTGTAATCTCCCATCTAAGCCTTCAGACACCAAAACAAATGATCAAACTTCCTATTGTCCTAGTTCCTCCTACCAGAGCAAAGATAACTGTTAAAAACACTCACAATTTCAGTGTTTATGGAAGTCTGATGATGATCAACCTAAGGTGCTCAAGATAGTTTCTAGCACAAGAAAAGTTGCTCAATTCAAAATGTACATGAATTCTGCATTAGTGAAGGTCAGAACACCAGAAACTTATTTTCAACTAACCTATCAAAAACAGGCACACTGGAGACTTTGGCCTGAATGTTGAATTTACATGAGTCTCAATTTTGTATGCAGACAACACCATACTTGTGTACTGCTTCAACAGGCAACAAAGTAGTTAAAAAAACAATTATTTTCTGTGAATGCTAATGAACATTCTGCATATACCAGTATTTTTCAACCAGCATGCTACAGCAACCTGGGGTGCCATGCAATGTTAGCACTGTGCAAACATAATTTGTAAGATAGACCCAGAGATTTGAAATAGGAATCCATCGTGTCAAAAACATTCTGATCTGTTGCAGTCTGACTTCTTCGCAACAAATTGCTCTATTATTTTTCTGTTCTTAAAAAAAAGAAAGAAAGAAAGAAACAAAAACTAAGAGCTGGCATTTTCCAGCGAGTGCCTTGAGTCTAACAAGGTTGGGAACCACTGGCTTGTGTGTGTGCCTGGCAAGTAGATTTCACTGTATAGGAAAAAATAGAAGAAAAATAACCTGTTGAGACCTATATTGTTTAGTCATTACACAAAGAAGTGGAGTCCCCTGTGGTTCAGTGGTAGAGTCCTTGTCTGCCACAGAGGAGACCTGGGTTCAATTCCCAGATGCTTATTACAGCCATAGAGGTACTAAACATCTGGACTCAGTCTGGTCTTTGGATTCTGTCTGTCTCAGTGGCCTAAAGGGGGATGGAAGGTCTGCATAACCTTCACTACTCCTCCAAAACAAACAAACCTCTTGCAAACCTCCTGCCTAGGTATATGCATTGAAGGTCTGGGTGACCTGTAATGCATACACCATGATATGGAAGGGTCAATGGTTGCCACACACAAAGAAGCACCAAGCTCCTCATTCCCCCCGGCTACTCTGCTTCTCTGTCTCTTGTAATGTCAAAAATAACTCAATTTTTTCTGAAACTGGAATGAGAATTAAGATAGAACAAAAGTGTGCAGCCTGCTGACACTGCTTGTTCTATCTTAATTCTCATTCCAATCTCAGACAAAATTGAATTATTTCCATCTTGTGCTAGTTTGCCCCCATTTTCTATTAAGCCATTGCAACAATGGAAGTAAAGGAATGGAGCTGGCTTGTTGGAGGCAATAATGTGTAACAGGCTTCCGAGGAACCTCTCACCTCACTTAAACTGCTTGGAAAAAATTAAAACATGAACACTACCCCGAGCAAAATTTTTACCTCCAGTTTTGTGCCCTTTATCTACAGTCCCTCAAATGTCTTAAGGAAACCAGTAAGCTCTGTATTATTGCTTGTGCTATCCAGGAAGTTCAAAGGTTGGAGGACAGCCAATTGTAAAAGCAGCACAGAGATGACAGTGCTATCTCTAGGAGAAAAAGCAGTTTACAGTAATCCAAATCTATCACAGCGATCAATACCTTAGACTGTGTGGTGCCCTCGCTTGTGCTCACAATCTGCTTCTGAGGTGACAGAGCTATCATATGACTCCCCTTCACCGTGACATACTGCTGCACTGATGGCTGCGAGGCTGTTCCAGTTACTGCCATCTGTGGTTGCTGGGGCAGCTCTCCTGGCTCCTGCTTTATTATCACCTTTTAATAAATTAAAGTTGAATTTAAAAAAAAAAAAAAAAAAAAAAGCTTTAGAGCATCCAAAGAAACCATCACCTACTGCCAACTTTCTGTGGAAAAGATTCACAAGAAAGAGCCAAGAACCTGAACTCCAGTCTTGATTCTGACAAACACCCAGGTCACAGACGCATCACCCTCAGATGTAGCAAAAACATCATAAGCTGCACAGTGGTGAAAAAACACTGATGTTTGCAAAGGTAATCAGAGGCCGACAGGTGCTAAACATTAATGCTAAAGATGATTTGTTCTGGTTTGCAGCTGCAAACAGGACTAGCCTTCCTGAGGTTAATTAATACTTTGATTCTTAACACCCTGCCCGGTCTACAATTCTGCCCAAAATATGCCAAACAGAACTCAAAACTTGGATACAACCTAAATTAAAAATAAAAAAAACAACCCGAGTTTCTCAGAGGCCTGCCTATTAGGGATGTGCGAAGTGGGCCCTATTCGATTCGGATTCAGCCTGAATCCGGGACAATGATTTGACTTGTTGATTCGGATCACTGTCCCTGATTTGATTCGGCCAAATCCAAATCTGAAGGTTTGATGCTGATTCAGAAAAAAAAAAAAAAAAAAAAATCAGCGATTTGCACATAGACACAGCTTTAAAAATTTTTTCTACGTACCTTGAGGTAGCAGGCATGGCTCGTGAACGCTGTGACGCTGGGGCACATGAAGCGTTCCACAGGAGTGCAGCGGGGGGGAGTGTCCAGCACACTCCCTGGCAGACCTGGAAGTAGACCGGAAGTACTTCTGCTCCATTTCCAGGTCTGCCAGGGAGCACGCTGGGCCACCCCCCCTGCAGCTTGGCAATTGGCTGCAGGAGGACCCAGGAGACACCAGTTACTGAGCCAGGGGCACACAGGTGACAACCCCACATGCTCCCCAGTGGACCCGGAAGTGCTTCTGGTCTACTTCCACGTCTGCTGTTGAGCGCATGCTGGGGAGCCCCCTGTGCTTCTGTGGGACACTCCACATGCCCCAGCATCGCAGTGCTCACAAGCCGCCTGCTACCTAGAGGTACGTAGAAAAAACATTTAAAGCTGTGTCCGTGTCCGAATTTCTGAATTTTTCCCAATCTTTCCAAAGCGATTCGGAGGGTTCCGATTCGATTCAGATTTGAAAATTCAGCCGCTGAATCAGGCTGAATCTCCGCCAAATCAAATCAGGGACCAAAGCTTCGCATAGCCCTACTACCTATCAAAAGTCCCCTTGTATTACATCATTTTGGACATTTTCCAACGGGCAGAGTATTAGCTCACAACAAAGGAAGAAAATAACTTACTCCTAATGCTTGAAGAAATACACTTAAAAAGACAGGTCTTGGACATTCAGAAATGGCAAGTATTATTTTACAGGCAAAGCAACTTATAGACCCAGAAACTACTCTAGTTTATTTTACTGTATTATGGAAGAAATCCACAGTGTGTTTTCAAATATCTGCTAGAACATGGCAGTAGTTCATTATAGGAAAGGAAAACAAAATAAAAAAGTAAAAGAAAAGACACGAAAGGTTGGAAGAACAATGAAGCCACTGAAACAGAAAGACATGCTACATTTTATGAAAGTTGCAAGAGTTCATTTTTCTTCATGCCTGTCAATAAAACAGCCTGGGCTTCTAATTCTTGACAAGGTAACAAGAATGTATATATACACCATGAAAGCTGTGCCAAATCCAGACTATGCCTCCATGCACAAAACCAAAAAGTACACATCAAATACCTTCGTAAAAGCTCCAAGTCCTCCTGTCACAGATTTAGGGCTCTGAACCTTGGAATGACTCCCAATTGGACAAAGAGGTGGCATTGTTGCAAATAAAGAATCCTCCTGCTAAAAATGAATATACATGAAATTAACACATAGGTGAAACAAGGAATATAAACATTAGTAACTGGATGCCCATATCAGCAACTAGAATAACATGTAGAAGTAATTTTATACATTCTAAGGAAGGTCTATGTATTTCTATTCAGACATGATTATTGTACGATTATGTGATACTGCATAAGGCATCTAGAGATTTCAAATGCTCTCTTATTGGGAACTCCATTCTTGGCAATTAAAACAACATTTCTTATTACGTGGTAATTAGGTGCCCGGAATGGGCTGACATGTACAATCACAGCCACATTAGGCGTTTTGATAATAAGCCTCAATTTTCCATCCTTTGAAACAGAAGTGTCAAATGCCTGGCCTGTGGATCAAATCTGACCTGCTGGAATAACAGAAGTTGGTAAGCATGGCCAGCAAGGGGCATAGCCTGTGCCAGGATTTGGGGGGCCCAATGGACACAGCTGTCAGTGGCATGGGGCGAGTCGCTTTAACCCACAGTCCAGATCTGGCCTAAGAGGATACTTTGGAATGTTAATCCAACCCCTTCTCCTAGCATATCCTATACTATCCTGGTGTTGAACTCCAACACAGAGACACAGATTTACAGGGGCTATATTTCCATTAACAGAGCTGCAATTTTTCTAAACGTATCCTGACTCTTACTGGTGTCATCTTGAAAACATGTGATGTGGGCATTCCCTAATTTGTTTCAAACTGCAAAGAAGCAACTGCTTCAGATCAGTGAAACAAGCATTAATGAGTAGTATTAGTTCTGTTAATTGAAGTCACTCTTAACTAGCTGTTTTTTCTGATATCATAAGGGGTGCACACATCTCATTTAATAGTACTGCTCCAATTCTGCTACCTCAAATTAGACAAAGCCTCTAATATCTGCCTCCTAATAGAAGCAATTCCCAAGATCATTTTGGGATAAGTCTCTGGCTTGGATTTTTGCAGATGGAAAAAGTATACTTTGTTTTACTTGGCAGATCCTTCGACATGCACACGTATGGCAAATGACTCCTATACCAGATTTTCAGAAAATGAGCATCATTTTCTGGGGAGAAAAATTCTCGTTCTAAACATAAAAATAAGTTCTTTTCTCCACCCCGGCTGCAGTTATCGAAGCACCCTAAGATCAATTGTTCTTACATAAGGTGAACAGACTATTGCTGATCTACCTCCTGCATACTACTTCACAACCCACGAACCACTTTCCAAAGGAGTAACACTGATGCCACTAGTCAGAAAGATGTCTCCTTGTAAAATGAGAGGTTTTTATCTGAAATAATTTCCGTACCTGTAGGGCTTTCCAGTTCCAAGTCATAAACCTACTCACTTCTGCTCGTTTGCAGCCAGTGACTGCAACCTTGATTGACTACAAACATACACTTTTGTAAATCAAACTTCTAAATGCTGCTCATACATTAGCATTCTTTTTCTCCCTCAGTTGCTTACATGGAAGTAGCTGTAACAGCCAAGGCTTGGCTTGCTTGCAACGTATGAATTAAGCAAAAATACCCATACAACTGAGGTTTCTAAAAACATGTACTTTTGGTCAGATCCAAAACGGTCACCAACCCAGTGAAGAAGATCAAAGGCCATTACAGAACAGGCTCTTTTGAAAAATAAGGTGATAGAGAGTACAGAGATCTATACCCCCTAAAGACTTTCTTGTTTGAGAGCAAAATACTTATTTTTAACAGAAATGTAGACAATTCTAATTAGAGCTGCCTGAATTGACACCATTATACCTTCCAACATGCTGTGGCTGCTAAACAGAGTATGTTTCAGTGACATGGTGAGCTTGTATTCTGTATTCAAGACAAGTTCACATGATGCTAAAAAAGACCAAATAGCCCATCTGCTTTATATGACGTGATTTCTTCATAGAAACAGCCAAATCTATCATGGTTATATTACCTTGACAGCAGAGGTTACAAAACTGCTTCCATGGATCTTTGAGACTGGAGATCCAGTTCCGTGAACGGCCTGAGAAACATTTGTCAGTTTGCTTGTTGGGCTTCCTGTGTATTGGAAGGGTAAGGCAGACTTCAGGGTAAGCATTTTGTGATGGTTATTATTAAATAAAAATGGTTTTGTACCTAACAAAGACATAGTATTTCACTTTTATTAACACCGTATATATGCTGAAGGGAATACACAGTAATGATATTTCTGTTACTGGTAGGCTTTGTGAAAGCTGGCTCATCCAAAACCTCAGTTTCAAACCTCAGATGTTTGGCAATGTCTTTTTAAGATATTAGGAATAGAAGGATTTTGTAAAGAAGCTTGGAGGTAAAGGGATTTGTGTCTGTTAGTCATTCAGATAAGTCATGCTCACCCTCCAGTCTATGGGCTGAATCTGGCCTGTGGGGCCATGTCATCTGGCTTGCAGGGCTCTCCCCAGGTCCTGGAATCTGGTGGCAGGGGAATGGTTGTAGTGTTAATTGCCATGGCTATGGAAACCATGGCAATTAATGCCACCACCACTCAACCACCCCAAATTTTTGGACCTGTGGGGAGCCCTGCAGGCCACATGACATGGCCCTGTGCACATGGAACAACTCCACCTGTGAGATCTGGTCTTGTGGGGCAGGAAGGATGAGCACCACTGATTTGGATGCTTTTGAAAATCCCACTCATTATATACAAATCTGCACTGGGTACATTTGAAGTTAACCAAATTACCATACGTTGATAAACTACACTTCAACTGCATACAAAGCTTTAAAGAAAAGTGAAACATTTAACCTAGTCAATATATGATCAAGTTGTTTCTTGTTTATCGAACAAAAGACCTTCCAAAAAGTACCAGAAAAATAAAAGAACTCTAGCTACTTCAAACAGAGACTATTCAGCTCTGTTACCATACCTTTAAAGGTGGTAGAAGCTGAATAATTCTGAGTTTCTCAACAAGAAAGGGACACATTTTTCATAAAGAATTTTCCTATTTCCATCCAGATCTAGTGAAAGGTATTTGTTATGTGAATCATTTTAAACTAATATAAAAAGTCTCTGTTAGCTCCAAGCGCTTCTCTAACAAGCTACCAAATGTACACCTATGCAAGTCAGGCATGAGGTTCTTTGGCCTGTGTGTCATGTTTTATATACAAGGACCTATGAGCAGCTAATTTTTCTTCCAACTCCAATACAAGGATGGCCTACTAGCTCTTCCCTTTCACCTGTCTCCTGGACTAATTACTCCTTAGACAGTAAAAGAATCACAAGAACTCAACGTAGAGTCCCTGCAACCTCCGAAGTACTGAATCTAGTTGAAGGAGTTGGGGGTGGGTCTGAGGCAAATCTGCTGAAAGTAGCTGAATGAAGGCTCATAGTTCAATTATGGTTGGTAAGACCATCTTCTCCAGACCATCCTGATTTAATCAACCTACTGTTTGGACAGAGTTGGAGCAATGCATGCTGGAATCCCTGACACCCTGAAGGTCATACTTCTGTACTGAAGATAGAGGTGGCAGCACAACACAATGGGTTGCACTTTACTATACCCAACACACAGCTCCAGCCATCATCCCAGATGCCCTTGTTACATGCATCACAACCTCCACCTACTTACTCCAATTTTTTTCTGAAATGTGTAGTCTCTTTGGAGAGAAATTAATGATTTATATCTGCTCTTACATTTTGTGTCGCTTCCTAGAGTGAACTCCACCTGTGCTAAAAACACCATATTCTAGGCAGTAGTTAGATAAACTATTGATCCTTCCCCCTTCTTTTGTAAAGCACTTTGGAATCTTTGCATATTGACTTAGTATTATTACAGGGAAGATAAACGGGAGTGGATAAAACTAAGCTGCTACCTTCCAAGATCACACTACACACCTGTGCTTGTGGCTGCTGCTCCAACCAGCTGTCCAGGCTTGTCCACAATAATGAAGGGGTTATTAATGACGGAGCTAGCAGACCCTTGCTTCATGTGCACCGGGGTGGAGGTTGGGGTACGAGGTAGCGGAGATGGACTAGGGGTCGATATTGGAGAACCTTAAGAAAGAAAGTCCGATACTTCCATCTCTTAAATTTCATAAGGACATAAAAATGCCATAAAAGAAAATGACTTGGAGTTTGCACATTTTGCCAAGGATGCATTTCCTAGCCCAAGTTGGATCACAGGGCTGTAAGGGGATGAGTAAAGTTTCAAAACCCCTGATTCTCCCCTGCTCCCAATGCCAATAAGCCCCTGCATGAGGGTAAAGTGCTGAGCAGCTCCTTGAAAGGTATTTGCCTTTCTTCTCCATGCTAGCAGATCCTGTTTCCATAGCCATTAGGAACAGCACTAACTAGAAGGGCTGTAGACTCAGGCAAGTGACCCCTAAGATAAGCCTCTCTTCCTACTATGCCACTCAACTGTGGGAGCACGTAAAAGCCACCACTGCAGCAGCATGTAACCTCCTGGTAAGTGAAAAGGGAGGTAAACCAGGGGGAAAAACAGGTTGAAGAAAGTAATAAGGGAGCAATAAGAGATAAGAACAGAGAATGAGAATATGGCTAAAAGAGGGATGACAACTGCATTATGGCATACAGTGAAGGGACACTGTGTAGGACAGTAGCCCTGTCACTGAAAAAGACGCTTACAACTTACACATAACTATAGCAATGTGAAAGGGACAATAGGTTTTCTCAGAACTCAGTAGAGTCTCAGAGATGCTTAGCGAAGAATGATTTTGAATAGAAAAGATTGGCAGAGACTATCCTAAGGATTTTAAGGCAGACAAGATAGCCATGTAATTCTCACCTACTGGGAAACCTTCGTGTCTTCTAAATGGGACCCAGAAAATTAGGCAAATGGTTCAGTATATTAAGGTAGTAAGTAAGAAAGCAGCTGGCACTTGTTCAAATAAGTTGCTATTGCCTTAGGTACTGTTTTAAGAGAGAAAGAATATATATTGGCAGAAGAGAAAATACAACCATAAATGGAAAAAGCAGGCAAGAAAAGTTTGGGAAGATATGATCAGTAAGCACCCATACTGGTACCTGCTGCCTCAATCTCTATTCACTGAACACCACACAATAGTGGTATATTACAGACAATGGTCTCATGTTCACAAGTGACTGAAGAAAGACGGGCACTGAAGTTCTCTCATGTACCCTACAGCCCAGCAGAAAGCATTGTGTTAGTGAAATGCAATTATCACTCTCAGCAGACCAGGGAGTAGAAGCAGAATGAGCATACTACAGTGTGACTGCATCTGTTTTAGAAGTTTCCAAAAGGATATAATTTTGCTTGCTGCAATCAGATGCTTATCTCTTCTCACTGAGCCATCTAGAATTACTGTTAATGGGGGAGAAAAAAGGAAACTGTCTGCTTCTAATGAGAAGACACTGTGACTATGAGAGCAATGATTTCGAGTTTTCAACACTGTCATCTGCTTGAGAAAAGGGGGGCGGAAGGACAATACTTTTCCCATTTTACCAGTCCCAAGAATCAGGAAGTGAAAAGGGAAAGCTTTGTCTCGCCATTCATAAACACGCTCATGACATCTCATTATTTTGTACCGAAGTAACAATTTTTATGCCTGAGCCAATTAACTAGGTGTAGCAGCATGTCAAAAAAGTGCATGCCCAGGGAATGATTAAAAGTAGTTCCCAACTTGCTTTTAACTTGCAAACACTCTGCATAAGTATTTTTTTAAATGGACAAAATTTGTTTTTAATCTCTTCCACTGGAGTTTCCCTATTGACTTATGTTCTATGCTGGCAAGAAAACAGGGAAATGATACCAAACAAGGCCAACAGGTTCCATAACTCATTTTCCAGTATGAAGTATTCGGAACATCAACTAAAATTCACCTGACACAATCTTGCAGCTCATGGTGATTGGCTGGAAGGATTTTCCAGGTGATTCTGCTGGGCTTGGGATCTGACCCTGAGGCACAATTTTGCAACTAGCTGCAATTGGCTGAAAAGCCGAATTTCCATGGGAGCCAAAGGCGACCTTCTGTGTTAATTTAGTGGGAGTCCGTTCTATCGAAGAGGGCAGAGAATAAAACGTTGTATGTCTTTCGGTCTCAGCGTTCCCAGGGAATCCTGATTAAAACAGGGAAAAGAAGAGAAATATTTCTCATTCCTTAGTGTTTTACTGCATAGACGAAAACTAAGATAGGACAAACGCCTTCAAAGCCTGTAAGTGTGATTTTGGGGCATTTATTATTTTGCTTGACACTTCTCTGAAAAAAAACATATACTCAATCAAAAAACAATGTACTGTCTAACCCAATATGTTGTCATGAAGCTTCACTATCCTGGCATCCATTTTGACAGATTTTTTTTGCAAATCCCAAGAGTGCCGATATGTGTTGTTTGGAAGTGGCTACATCCATATAGTTGAAAAGTTTTCACTAAAGGAAGCGTGTCTCTGCATATTTGTGAATGATTATATAGGGGCAGGAACAGTGACTAATGTCCTCCTATATAGGCTCAGGGTCCATCTTAATTCATATAGGTGGAGCTCAGTTAATCAGTGGCTCTAATGAATAACAGCAGTTTCTCTGAGGCAGTAGCAAGCTCTTTCCTTCCTGTTTGCTTTATAGACTGCCCATCCAAATGTTCAGCATCTTCGCTGAAGTCAGAAAATAGCTTATGCATTATATTTTAGGTGCTCATGTTTTTCTTTTTTTTGCCACAGTAAGAGGGACACAGTGACAAAGTGGTTCAGGTGTCTTACTATGGTGCCAGGGGTATGAGTTTGAGCCCCTCTCTGGACTTGTGCTGAAGGTCATCCCCAGTTGACAAGGTAAACATGGCTAGTCTGAATCACTGGGTATGTTGCCTGGCCATATCACAATACCCTACGTGCTGCTGACTAGAGAGCAAGGCCTTAACTATGTGAGCCCAATCAGCAGGGAAGTGGGATTTTAACCTTTTTGACCATAAAAAGTGTAGCAAATATAACACTTCCCATCCTTAGATGGCTCCGCTCAGATAACTTGTTGAACACCACTGGAAAGATTTTAAGTTTTCAATTGCTAGAACATTGCAAAAATGCTGTGAAACTAAGTCTGGCATGTGGTAGGTGGGACTAAGGTAGCTTTTTTCACGTAACAACATAATTTTACTTTAATGGTATAAAAAACTGGTGTTTATCAACAACCCTAACCCATGCTTAGGAAAATGTTTTAATTCAGGCCATCTGGATTGCAATTATTTGTCATGAAATGAATTTTCTGTAAGAAGCAATGAAATAAGCATTATTCAGAAGTTTTTTAAATGCAAAGCAAAAAGAAGACAGATATTTTTGAGAGCTCTCAAGACAACTCATAAACTTATCCCAAAGAAACAGTTTCTATACGTTTCCATTCAAGGTGTAAAAAAGAATCCAGTTCCCAGCTCCAAAGTTGGCTAGTCACAGAACCATGACTGGAACAGAAGGTGCATAATATGGTACTGAGGAGAACGATAACAGGCATTTTAAATCAGCCTGGTGGATAAAAAGGCAGTTGATTCAAGAAAGGAAGGATGATTTTATGGTTAAAGCACAGGTCTGGAGATCAGTGGTCTAACTCCTGCTCCAATATGCCCCTAGGCAATGATTATTTCCATGTTATATCTCACAAGAATATTGTAGGGGAACACAAAACACACATTCCTGAATAAAAGACTCTAGAAGATGGTCCAGCAGCTGGAGCACTGGCTTAGGAGTTGGGAGGGCCTGGTTTAAATTCTCTACTTCACCTCTGCTTCCTGCATGACCTTGGCCAATCACGCAAAGCCAAATTTACAAAGGGATTTTGGTGCTGGCATGCTTAGCTGCAACACTCAACTTCTAAGTGGCTGGCCTCCAGAGTGGGATTCACTGCGTTGGCTCCCTGCACAGGACACGGAGAGAGTCTAGTACATCAAAATGGGATTCACAAAACAGTCAACATGCCAAGTGAGGAGCTGCCCAAGGTTGTGTCTACACTGCCTCCACACTGCTGTTGAGGGCTGCTGCCAAAATAAACTTCCCACCAACTCCTGTTCCACACCTGGAAATGATGCAGGAGAGACTGAGAAATTTTCGTGCCTAGAGGGTCAAGCCAGGATTTTGAGGACGGCACTCTTGGGCTTAGATACCCAAATTCCACCGTTACACATAGGCCCACTTTAAAATCTGGCTGTAAAGCCCAGATCTAACAAAGATATTTAGATACTTAACTCTCATTGAAATTAGTGGGACATAGTTGCCAAATTACCTTCAAATATCCGTTTCATTTTCTCTGTACTTCATACTCAATCTGTTAAATGGAATATTAGCACTTCTCTACCTCACGGGGACATTGCAAGATGTGAACATTAAAACGAGTGCCAGGTACTCAGCTAAAATAGATGGCTAATGCAGTACTGCAACTGCCTCGCTCCTCTCCGGCACCTCAAGCATGTAGTCTTTTTCTGCAGCAAACCCATGACCAGAGACTCTTGATGATCCCATAAGTTTTTACAAAATCCTATGATGTTCACACATTTAAACAGCTCAGGTAGATCACCTGCCTAAATACTCTGAAATCCAGAGCAAAAAAGAAAACAGCTCTTAACACTTGCTTTTCCAACTGAATGGCCTACATAAAGCATTTGCCCTCTATAGAATTTGGCACAACTGAATCTCCTCAATGACATTCAAATGAAGAAAGTATTCTGAACTCAGTTTCTTTCAGAAACCTGCCACTTCTTTAATGTACTAGACAGTCAAGAATCAGATGAGTTATTCCAATGCAACTCAAAAGTAATTCAGTTATTAACCCAACACTTAAAAATATTCAAATTATCCCTCCCAAGATTTAGAAAACATAAGTATCAGTTTGCTTTACCTTTTTCTACAGAAGCATCTGGACTGGACTCATGCAACTGTTTAATTGGAGAAGATGCTTTAACGGGTGCTGGTATGCTTAGTGGTAGTGGGAGAGAGGTGGGGACATCAGAAAGGTCAGACTCAGATGACTGGGAAAAGAGATATTCCTCTCCAAGGGAATGCC